AGCTTTCGAACGAAGCTTTCTCGCCGTTTTGAAACAACGTTTTTTAATTAAGGGAAAGATTTGAGTCTTTTATTGCAATCTTGAGTTATGAGCTCAAATTTATTCGATTTCAAAAGCCCAGAAAGGGATTAAAATGGTGAAAGCATTAAGCAAAGGCAAAAAGCTAGTAGAACAATATTGCTTCGGGAGGAAAAAAGCTTTTTTTATGCTCTACACCATTTGTGATAAGATAAACAAAACGATTTGAGGTGAACGTATTTCTTATTATCCCGATCACATTCAGTCGTCTATTTGTCTCTCTTTGTTTCTTGAGTTCAACCTACACATAGCAATTTTTGATATATTTTCAAAAAACTTGGTAAGTTCGCCTATTTTGGCTCAAGTACGAACCCTGTTGAAGTTAGTTCGGATCGGACTGCTTTTCGATCGCTTCCTTTGCAAGATCTTATTTTGTGAATTCGTTTGGTGAATAACAGTATTAAGCGAAGCGGTATAGGATATTTAACGGTGGACATTGGCCCACTATAGTGCTTTTACTTGGTTACTTCAAATACCATTTTTCATAAACGCAAATGGACAAGGAATCAACATTTATTGTAGTCGCACCATGACCAGTTAGAGCACGAGATCTGCTTCGCATCTTTCGTGACTTTACCAATTCAAAATCTTCGAAGCACTCAACAGGCCTGCTCATGCATACGAATCTCAAGGAAAAATCACTGAAGGTATCGAAAGCATTTATCAGAAACACGACGATGTATTTGAAATGAAATATTTGTGATACAAAATCGGATTGGTTGGGTTTATCTGCCGCTACCTACTTTAGCTAAAATTTCTCTGATCGATAATGGGTGAAGTAAGTGGAAAATCGAAAATTTAGGGTAAATACGTTTGGTTTCCAATATTTGCCTCAATTTGAGTATTTTTCCTAACCCAAGCTTTGAAGACTGAGCTCAGCTCACCTCAACGACAACTAAACTTCTATAGCCTGTCCCGATTAGCTTTGGAAAAGCTATCAGGGTTTTAGTCGCCACACTAGATCAGGTTTTTGTGCAGAAGTTTAATGCAGAAGTTTTGAGATTTATTAAAACTATGAAGTTTATATTAAATTTAAATACTTTAAAAAGGGGGGCTTGCTTGAACCTGTGCTTTCTTTTTAGTTCGTTCTTAAACAATTACCTTTCCACGGAAATTCTTGCTGTGTGCAAAAAACGATAAAATTAAATTTTTAGTCAACTATGAGATCGGTCCGCCAGGATCAAAAGAAATGTTGTGCTGCGATTATTTGAATTGTGGGCGTTAAAGCTTTTTCTCATGCTACATTGCTTCTCCTAGGACTTTTCGTTTCAGAGCCGTCGAGTTCAAGTCAAGTAAATGTTGGAATGACGTTGTCTTTACTTGATCGAACAGATTGTAAATTGAAAAATGATTTTGTTTAAAATGAAAATAGAGACTCATATCCCATTAACTAATAAAGCTGGCTGCTCAGGTGATATCAAGCTAAGAAAATACGGGGCAAAAAGTGGTTCCTTCCATGAATAGCCTCAAACAACGAGTTATTTCTTCGGGAGAAATATTTTATGAACTCATAAAAATAGGAGAACGTGTTAGCTAAGACTTGACAATATTTCCAATCGTCAATCTATAGTTCTTTCATTCGAAATAATGTCGTGCTGCATATCAAAAAAAAAACGTTTAAAATTTATAGAGTACACCAAAGCGCTTTATCTCGACATTGGTTTGGACACGTACAGTCCCCATTGATAGTTTCACTTAAATATACCTTGCATCATTTGCAGTAAGCGTACACTAAATTTGTGCGGTTCGATGCAACATTCAGAAGGACGTGAGAGACGTCTGCTTTTTATTATATAATTTGATTGAAATCATTCTCTGCATTAACTTAACAATCGATACCTGAAAACCTGAAAACTTCTAGTCAAATAATATGTCAGGACTTTATGAAAGGTTCTAAGGGTGGCCGACCTGACGAGGTGCATTATCGCATAAGTAGTTTTCAAAAATAAAAAGTGGTACAGGGGAGTTGCCCTAAAAATGGTCCGATCAATTCCATTCTCAATAGCTTACGTTCTTGGCCCGAAAGTTGTCCATCCGCCAAATTGTACCAAAATTAGATTAAAGAACGTGGACAGACATTATACAAACAGACCAAAATGTTTCTTATCCTTATATGTACATACACAAGGGGTGTTGGGTAAACAACATTTTTTCATGTTTCTAGTGGAAGGTGAGACTTTATGACACCTACCAAACGAACCTATAAAATTTAAATGGGAAATGGCCATTTATTGAACCTCCTTTCATCTAAAAGTTTATTAAAAAATAAGTTTTCTTGTAGAACAAGATTTAATTTTTTGTATTTTATAGCAGCAAAAAATTAATAAATAAATACAAAATAAAAATTTCAGTACGCAAGAGTATGCTTGGCTGTATCTGTAGCGAGTAGTCATAACACTTATCGATTAGGCCACGCATTCAGCAACTTGCGGCTACTCTACCTCTTGAGTGATTGGTCATAATAACAAAAACAAAAAAGGAAAGAAAGAAGAGTGAAGAGTGTAGCTATAGTTCGAACTCATTGAAACATAAAAGTTCTCATGGAAGGTAGTCTTTTATATGACAACACACAAAAGATACACGAAGAAGTACTAGATTGCGTTTAGGTACATAGAGTATTTAATAGTCGACTTTCCCTGGCGACTATACGGTTTTTTGCTTATTATGCTTAAATTGCTTGAAGTAAGCTGACGTAGTCAGAATTTGCTCTTTCGACGAAGCACAAAATTTAATTGCTATTTAATCATCGATCGATCTATCTCTCATTATTAGTAAGTGATGATTAAAAATTTTTATTTTCCCTCAGATAAGGTAACTCAACTACAACTTGTTGTATTAAATTAATTAAATTAAATAATATTTCGATGAAACTGTTTTGTATTGTAAAAGTTATCAAACAACAATGTATTATGCCCTGAAACCTATAAGAATTTTTGCTTTTATAGTTATTTTCCCTTTAAAAACAAGTAAAAATATTATAGTCGGGCAAGGCCGACGATTAGATACGCTGCACCGTTTCGTGCAGTACAGTTATTTATTCGTTTGGTAATAACACACCAAAAATTAAATATTATTATTCCCGCAATGGCATGCTTTCCATAAAAGCCTGCATACTGGAAAGTGCCCTTGACGTGGTCGAAATTTAACAAACTTAATTTACTTCCTATAAATTTGATTAGTTTCCAATTTCCATTATAAAAAATTTGAAATTTTACTCTCTTCCTCTGCATAAGAGCTTGCTTTGCTTGATAACCCTTACATGTGTTCGGATCTAATAAATAGACCTATGTGATCCAAATTCCCGATTATAAATTTTTTTGCTAAATTCTTACTATGGAGCAATTTTCATTATAAAATATTAAAAATTAAACCAATTTCTGAAAGGCTTACTATTCTTATGTAGGATGGGATTCAGTAAATAGTCTCATGTGGTTCAAATTTGGTTTATTTCATTTTTATGTTAAGCTAGTATCAGGAACAAATTTTCACAATAAAATATTAACAATTAGGCCCCTTTGGCAATCTTTCAATGCGGCGGTATGCAACAAATAGACCTATTTGGTCCAAATTGTTTGCCAATTAGGAATCAATTTTCATCATTTAATTTTGCAACTTAGATTTTGTTACCATAAAAAGATACAGTTTTTGTAAGAACGATTATAGGAGAGACGGAGGGTAAAAGAAATTGCCCCATCCGAATAAAATTTTTCATATAAATTTAGAATATAAGTATGCAAGTACTATTACTTAGTGAATTTCTTTGAAAACTATTCAAAATTACAACTTTTTCACATATAATGATTTTGCAAAATATGGCATTATAACGGGAGTGGTGAAAAAAGTGATCCGGTTCAAGCCATTTTCAATAGCCTTCATCCTTGAAATATCTGAGAAAATTCCGATCTGCAATAATACAAGAAAACACATTAAATGGACATATGGACGGACAAGTTTAGATCGATTTAGACAAAGATTGTGAATCGATCAGTGTTGTAAAAGCTGCTTCTATCAATAGCCCATCTGGGTGTCACTTACATCCGCACAAAATTAATATACCCGTGTACCACAAGTGAGGTAGGGTATAAAAATTCAAGGGAAACAAAATGTAGATGGTTTCGTTTACAAGTGCATTGTTAGCATATTCCATACTGTAGTTAGACATAGTTTAGCTGTAAAGCAATAAAGACAATGAATAATAAAAACAATAAACATATGACCGAAGGTAAAGAATTTAAAGAATGTTTAAAATAAATTCAACAAACAAACGCGCATTATAAACAAAACAACGATTCGGCGCAATGAATGCGTTCGTGAGAAGAGAAAGAAAAATATTGCATATGCTACTCAAAACCCAGTATTTTAAACCATTAAATCTCAAGGTAATGAATGGTGAATTGTAACAAATTTTTATTCACCACACATCAAATGATATTAATTTTTTTAAATATCTTTGGTCATAAACGTTGAGCGTCTAACTGAATTACCGTTATTCGTAAAGCAAACTTTGTAAGGATTAGTTATGCAGCAGTGCCATAACGGTTATTTCTAGTCGTCATCATCGTCGTCGTATATATCGCTTTCGATGATAATAATAATAATAATAATAATGATAATGTCGTCGTTGTGTTCGTCTTTGTGGTGGTGTGCCTGATTGGCATTAGTCATAAAAAAAATGTGTAACGCATTGATGTGTGTTATGTTTTCAATGATTTAGTTAAGGGTGGTCTGGCCAAGAAAATAGTTCTCCGGTAATACTTGAAGGACACGGTAATGTGTTAAGAATAAATGAAAGAAAAAATAAAAAAAAGGAAAAAAGAAAAAACATAAAGAAACTAAAGTAAATGAAAGCTTTTAACAAAGGACTTGAAAAATAATAAAAAAATTAAATAGAAACGAAAAAAAAAAAAAATTCATTTAATTTAAAAAGGCAAAATTGCCTAATGTGAGTGTGAAGGGGAAAAAAAAGAAACATAAGCAAATCAAAGATTCTTTTTAAAATCGAACATTTATACAAACGAACATTTATTTATACGTAACGTATTCCTGTGTAAATAAATAAACAAATTCATATATGTACGTATGTGTATGCGCTGCTAAGTAGTTTTAGTTTCATGACTTGTTACGGAAATGAAATGTCTTTACGAAGTGTGTGCAAATACACACACACACACACAAACACACACACACATACACAGCGATTAATTCAACGTGTATTTTGTTATATGCTATAAAATCGTATTTACTACTACTTTGTAAAAGTGTGTTTTGCTTATGTATGTATAAACTTATAAAAGAAAAAGCAAAAAAAAAATTTTAAAAAAATTGTACAGTTATGATGGCATTAGCTGTCGTTGCAATTGTTCAACACGCGCTCAACACTTGCATTTGGATTGAAGATGGATTTTGTAAATTCTTTTCATGATTTCTTGTTTACTTATAATTGGCACGTATTGCCGTAACTGCTGCACGGTTACCAGGACAATTTCATGTGCATAACAGTCTTAAAATATAATCGAGTCGTTTTATAATTTTAATTAAATATTTATTTACTTGCGAGATGAAATGGTTCAGCGAACGGTACTTTTAATTTCTAATTACGTAAATTCAATTATAAGAATGAATTATTCATTCAGTAGGATTTCATTAAAAATGCTCGCGTATTATATTAATTTTTTTGCTTTAAAATTATAAGAAAAAAAAGAGAAAAAAAGAAAAAGTAATCAAGTTGTGAAATGTGAATAAAAATAAAACATTTTTGTTTGCACAATCGTAATTAAGCGACTTAAAGACAGTATACGCGACGCCGCGGGTACATAATAAATATAATGCAAGAATTTATAATGAATGCAAGCTTACTCCTCGCTAACCAAATGAATTGAATAAGAGATGAGTTTAAAATTAATTGTGCTTTACCAGCATTACAGACTGCAGTTTAGGTTGACTTGACTTGACTTGACTCGTTTAACCTATGAACTTATGATTTTATTGCTTTAAGTTTTTTTCCCCTTTGTTTTTTCTTTTGTCTTTTCTTTATTTATTTATCTATTGTTTAAGAAAGTGTGTTTTTTCTTTTTTTCCAATATATATGGATTTTATTTATAAGAAAAATAAATAAAAACTTGGATAAGGCTAAAGGCGAATGTTGCTGATAACTAACTGCTCTTTATGATGGAATGAAAAAAATCGAATTTCCCTTCTTCATATATATTTTTGCGGCGGGTGAGATCATTCTTTTTGTGTACAATATTTATATGAGTTTGATAAATCGCAGATAGCCATCGACAGTAAAGGGATGAAAAGACAAGCTGACGGATGGACAAACAAGCAAGTGGAAAGATGAAAAGCTGAAAAACGATAGGCTGAACCATAGCAGAACAAACTTACATTTGGACAAATTGTCAGGCAGCTAGAGGGCTAAACAAATCAATGGATACGCAGATGAACAGGTGGACGAATGCTCAGATATATGGATGAATTAACAGACGGATGGATAAAACGTATGGATAATAAATGAATTGACAAAGAAACGCTTGGATAAAGAGGTTAATGGACATAGGGACGGATAAACAAGATGACGTAAGTCCTACAAACGAATAGGTAAAGAGGTTGATACACAAGAACGTGGACGAGAAGAACGATGTATTGACAGTAAACCGATAGGCAAAGAAACGGGTGAAAAAAAAGGCTTATAGACATGTTAACTAATGTCCGAGGAAAGGAATGAAGAAATAAAGGAATAATTAGGCAAAGTCATAGATAGGTGGAACTATGCCCAGGCAAAGAAGTGTATAGGCAGAAAAGTCTACAATAGGATTAGAAGAGAGGTTAAATAAGCTTACTGGAATGCAAGCGGAGAGTTTAGAGGACAACTGGGAAATAGAGAAAATTGAGATGATTAAAACGGTGTATAGTTCTTCTAGCAAATGTGGTTGGGAACTTCTGAAAAAGTTGTGTGTGTTCTTTTTTTTCTTCTGGTTACGAAATAAAATAAAGTTTAATAACTAGAAAATAATATTTGATGAAATTTTTCTCCTCCACACTTAGGGGAAAGAATATCGCAAATTGCCAAAGAGAGATTTGTAATGAAACCAATGCAAATGTGATGCATATTAAAAAGTTAAACGATTATAAAAGTAGACAAGGGATTTGTCAGAAAAACTGATATCGAAGCAGTCGGGAGGGACATCAGAATTCGGCTAAGTCAATTTAAAATTTCATGTTTATCAGGAATGTAGGGAATACACTACGATGTATGCTTCTATTCTGATATCACTTCTCCGACAGGTAAGAAAAACGGGTAGAACCCCAGCTGATCAGTTAAATTAACATGTTTACTTGTTACCCCATGAAAAAATTTAAAATCCCCTATTTATTGTTAAATTTATTTTGTACTTAAAAAAAGGTGAATAATTTCTAGTCGTTGCACTCAGCAGTAGTTTTGCTTACTGTTCTTTCGTCTTCTTCGAAGCACCAAATTCATTTCCTAATTATCAACAATGGTTTTCTAATTTATACAGGAATTTAAGATGCTTAGTATTTTGCCCTAGAAAAAATTTAAAATCCCCTCTTTATTATTAAATTTGTTTTATTTTTCGCAAATTTGAACAATTTTAAGTCGTTTGCATTTAAGCTGCGTCATGTTTTATTGCCGAATATAAATTTTGCAATTTGTCGTACTAAGTATTCGTAATAGTGATTCTTCAACTTTTTGCTCTTGCATATTAATTGATAACTATTATATGTTCTTATAGCCAATCACTCAGGGGATGTCAGCTGTTCCTTTAACACGATGATGATTGGAAAGAAAAGAAGAAAGAGAAAGAGATAGGTGAAGAATTTAATTAAAGCTAATAAATATTAAAGGGATAAGGTTCATATCTAATATAAATAATGCAATATGTGGGCGACTTGTGATATTCCGATTAATCGTGAAAATTATGTTTAATTCAACGACGATAACAACTTCTCGCTCATCATCATAATCAAAAAAGATTTTGTTATCAGATTGTTTTTTGCAAATAAACAAAGAAAAATAAAAAATCATCTCTCACCTATTCGTTTACACTTTAACGATTGGGAAACTGTGCAACTATGTCTGTTATTGAAAACCAAAATTCACCAAAAAAATACCATTGCGTAGATATATATATATATATATATATAATGTTTTCATAATCAGCTTAAATCGTAATAACTATTAAATAAACGTTTCACAGCTTTTTAATTTGTTTTAGTGAAACAGTGAAATAGTCCAATAAAGCAATTTTATTGCTAAATAGTGCGGAGGTCCTCTGATTACGTATTGTTATGACATAAATCAAATTTTCTCGCAAATCTATTTGCATGAACATACACACAACTGTACACATATAACTTAGTAATGTAATCATTTATAGTATATTATTATCCTGAACACTATTTCAATGGTCTTCCCGCTTTGAATAGTAATTGACGTTATTCGATCTGTTTACCTGGCAGTTAAGGCAAACAGTTTTTCTATGCTCGGCGCTTCTAGTGATGCGAGAGTATGTTAAGTTTTGTGGGAATATATGAAACATCTGGCACTTTTGATGGACCTAACTTTCATTATACCGATCGATTCTGAATCATTTTCGGAATTAATTTAAAATTTTCTGTCCATTGGTCCTTTACTCCTTTCGTGTATCCTACCTACTTTTTCTGAATCATTTTCGGAATTAATTTAAAATTTTCTGTCCATTGGTCCTTCCCTTCTTTCTTGTATCCTTTCCTCCTTTTCTAAATCATTTTCTGAATCGATTCAAAATTGTCTGTCCATCGGTCCTTCCCTTCTTTCTTGTATCCTTCCTTCGTTTCCTGAATCATTTTCTGAATCGATTTAAAAATGTCTGTCCATCTGTCCTTCCCTCATTTCTTGTATCTTTCCCTACTTTTCTGAATCATTTCTTGAAGCTATCCCTTCTTTCCTTCTTTCTTGTATCCTTCCTTCGTTTCCTGAATCATTTTCTGAATCGATTTAAAAATGTCTGTCCATCTGTCCTTCCCTCATTTCTTGTATCTTTCTCTACTTTTCTGAATCATTTCTTGAAACTATCTAAGCTTGTCTGTTCGTCGCAATTTTTAACCGATTTCGACGAAATTTGGTATGTTTTGCTTCCAGAACAAACGCTGTCAAAAATGATTCTGATTGTACCACTTCTTCTATCACTTTCCATATAAACCTTCATTTTGAATTACCGTATTAAGCGAACTGGTGTAGATTAATGGTAGATCGCGATCCACTATAATGCTTTCTCTTCTTTTCTTTATGAAAATTTCCTTTCATTTTATTTGCCATAGGTTATGTACCTTAAAATAGATTGGTAAGCCCGGATTGTGAATTTATGATAGTGTAGACTGTAGTGTTAACAAAACTAAGATAAATTTTTTTTACAGAAAACTGCTTGCAAAGATTAAAGGAAATTAATTACAACAACATTTCTTTTCCATAGAATTAATTCTTCTTTTTGACTAATTTCTTTCCTCTCTTTGTTTATAAACTTTTACTTAATGCATTTCCAGGTATTTGTTTTTTTTTTTTTGTAACTTCTTTTTCACATGCTGAATTTCATTCGTTACCTTTGAATTTTCATTCAACTTTTTTTTTAAATGCCGACTTCGTAAGACACGTTTATATCATGTCCCTTATAGGCATAAAACATTTTTATCTGTTTTTGCTATTTCCCTAATGTTTTTTTGGAAATTTCATTTCGTCTTGGTCTTATTTTATCAAATATGTGATTATGCGTTGAGTAAATTGTGGGCAATGAGTCTGAACGCAGTGCTCTAATTGCATTCTAGACAGGAGCATATTTTATTTTATACTTCTCCACATTTATGAAAAACATTTTTCCCAGCAGAGACTTACTTTCTTTTTTGTCTTATTAACGGCTCTTAGTCCAGCCCTTAGTTCTAAGCAACAGTTTTGTAAATAAAGTTTCTTCATGGTAGTCTACTTAGCAGTATTACTGACTGATTTCTTTTTGTTTAAAGTTCTTAATCCACTTCTTAATTATAAACACAGTTCCTTAATTGTAATCTCCTCAGTAATGTGTTCGCCTGTTATATTTTGCTTTTTAAAAGCCTCGAAAGTAAAATATCTTTCTAAAAATAGCTCCTTAATTATACTCAGCGGTGTTACTGATTACTTTTTTTTTGTTGGAAATTCTTAGTCGAAATCTTTTTTTCTAAGCAAATCTTCCACTCCATTAGGCAGTGTGTTTGCATGGATTTAATCTTTTGTTTCTCAAAACGCTTTAATTCAGTTCATTATAGTCCAGTCAGCAAAAGCACTGGCTACTCTTTTTTCTGTCTTATTCAAAGATCTTAATCCAACATCTAACGTTGAAAAATGTGCTCCCAAACACGGCTTCTCAAATCTACTTTAGCCAGCAGTATTTTAGTAGACAACTCTTTTTTGATATTTTTCAAATCTTCTTCTTTCTTCTTCATGTCTTCTGTTATAAACAACGGTTCACCAAACGCGAGAGTAGCTCTATTGACAGTCTTTTAAGCATTTACGTCAATTCAAGCGCTTGAAACGCTTTGTTTTTTAATTA